ACATAGCCCAAATAATAAGACAAACATACATATTTTTAATATTGTATATGCTATTATATTTGAAAATTAAGTAAATCATCTTACCCAAACAAATGATTATAATTTTAAAAATAAATATTACTAATTAATTTTCAGATATAAGTTTTCAAAAAAAAATTGGAACTTTTTTTTATTATAAATCAATTTTTAGGTGTAGTTTCATAGTTTTGTTATACTAGTTTGATGACCGAAATTAGAAAAAAAAATGCGTGAGATTCATTTTTTTCGTTGATCTTTGTGTAGTGAAACATGAGGACAAATTACAACACTTTTTTTTATTGTTAAATTTTTTTTATTAATTTTATAACTGTTTCAAGCTATATCACATGTTTAATAAATTATTTTAGCGGGTTCGTTACTCTTAAAAATTATTCAGTTGAAAATTAAATTATTGTAAAATACTTATAGAATACTAGGTATTCTATTAATATAATTGGTTTAAATAACAGTAATATAAAATATGTGAAGCATTTACAAGCTTTAAAAAAAAATGAGGATGTGTTAAAATTTAAAAAACACTTGATGAAGTATCATCATAAGAATACATCAGGTTCTACTTTGCACATATAAATAACTAACAAAATAAAATAAACATTCTTGGTTACATATTTAAATTTAAACTTTCTAGTATTTGTAGAATATTGGAACAGTAAACTAAACTGCATGATATCAGTTTACGTGATTTATTCCTGAGGCAAAAAAACCTATATATATTAACTCCGGTTGATACAGTGTATCACTCTTTTCTCAAAAAAATAAAATTCATAAAGAACACAATCAAGCACTCATAAAACGTTATCTTTTGAATTGATTCTGTTGCGTTATTTTTGATGTTCATCTATATATATAGTTCATTGGGTCTTAGTTTTTCTTTCATATAGTTGTGGAGAAATATCATATAAAAGTAAACGCAAACAAGTTATATAAGAAAAATGTTGTCATCCAAGCTTCACTTTGTTGTTCTTCTGATCATTGTTGCACTTCTTGCTAATAATGGACAATCGACTAGTAAGATCTCTTACATCATCTCTTTATTTCATATAACAACAAAAACAGAAGCCATTGTTTACGTATAATAAGTTATATTGATGTGTGATATTCTTATTCGCTTTATAAGCTACAAACAAAATTATGATTCTGATACTGAGTTTATTGATTTAACAGGAGTAATGGATGATAAGTTTCCAGAATGCGAATTCAAAGGACCCTGCCAGATGAAAAGCGATTGTTTGGGGACATGTGGAGGCAAACCTGAAAAATGCTTTGTGTATACCTAATCCTAGCATAGACAGCCTCCAATGTTGTTGTCTTTCAAACTAACTTGCTTCATATTATATTCTACTATTGATATTAGCAGTGTGATGTTTTATCAATAAGTTATTAAATAATTTTAAATGCTTCACTATGGATTTTCTTATATCGAATTAAGGATACTTAGATATTGAAACAATATCTTGTCCGGCATTTGTGACATAATGAAGAACTGAAGATTTGAAAATCAAATCCTTAATTTTTTATTAGTTGATAGTATTTTAATTATCATAAAGTTATAATACTTATAATATTTATATTATGGAAGTTCAAATATAAAAACCTGAATAAATCATAAATTTGATTTTTTTTTTGTAAATGATAACAATAATAAAATTTCAATCATAAAGTTTGAATGATATAATAAGATAGCTTTTTATTAAATAAAGTTAATAAGGTCTACGTTTAATATTTTTGCAATTTTTGAATTTAATTATTATATATTTTAATTGTTTGTAATAAATTATAGATACTTTTGTTGTTATCTTGAAAATTTATATAAAATAGAACAAGAAAATAATACAATAATAAATATACAGACATTGAAAGTTTTTGATAACACTTCTTCCGTTTAAAAAAGATGATTACTTGATGTTCCTCGGAGAATCAGCTTGTCTAACCACCACTTAATTTAGTTTAGATGGGAGGTCAACAAAAAAAAAATGATGATCACCTTTTTTTTACAATACATTTTGTATTTTATATATTTTAATATTGATAAGTTTTAGAATTAATTTTATTAGCTAAGATTTTTTTTTAAAATTATAGAAATAAATAACAATATAGAGAAAATATTTATAATCAAACTTAATATCTTTTGTTAAAATGGTGAAAAATGTAAACATACATTTAAATAAGGAGTATTTGAATGATCATATGTTCTTTACTATGCTCTATTTTCAAAGTTTTAGACTAAACTGTTCTTAACAAAATTATAAAAGTGTATTCGTAATGATAAATTCAGTAAAAAACACCTACATTTACGTTAGTTCTATAGTAAAAATTACAAGCAGGACTACATCTGTGAACAACTAGATCACGTAACAGCAACATAATTTATGTCATGGACACAAACCTTTATCGGTTCATATGATATGAATATTAAGATTTTGCGTATATATATTTTCTGTGATGTGCTTAAATTTAGATTATTATTTATTTCATGTAGGAATTTCAGTTTTACCACAAATTTGATATTATTTTTCAAATTTAACATTTATGAATAATTATTTTCATAAATACCTTAAATTTATCTTGATAAACGACTAAACTAATCATCCATAAATCATTTGTACATAATTAAAATTAATTATAAAACTTTATAAACTCAAATTCATCCCCTAAATAATATATCCTAAATAAGAATCATTAAACCTTGATTTTATATATTTTATGGGTTATATGATTTGTTTTTACTTAATTTAATTTTTGACGGGAGGTTGTTAATAATTTGTTTGGTTGAATATGTATGATTGCTTATAAAGTATTTATGTTTTATTAGATGTTATATAACTATATTTAACCCAAATAATAAGATAAATATACATATTTTTAATATTGTATATGCTATTATATTTAAAGATTAAGTAAATCATATTACCCAAAAAATTGATTATAATTTTCAAAATAAATATTACTAATTAATTTTCAGAATATAAATTTTTAAAAGTTTTTAATGAATTTTTTTATTATATATCAGTTTTTGGATGTAATTTTCATAGTTTTGTTATATTAGTTGGATGACCGAAATTAGAGAAAATTGCATGAGATTAATTTTTTTGTTGATCCTTGTATAATGAAACATGAGGAAGATTACAACATTATTATTTTAATTATTAGAAATTTTGTTCTTTACTTTTATAATTGTTTCGAGCTATATCACGTGTTTAATAAATTATTTTAGTGGGTTCGTCAATGTTAAAAATTATTCAGTTGAAAAATAAATTATTATTTATAGAATACTAGGTATTCTATAAATATATTTGGTTTAAGTAACAGTAATATAAAATATGTGAAGCATTTACAAACTTTAAAAAAAAATTGAGGATGTGTTAAAATTTATAAAATACTTGATGAGGTATCATCATAAGAATATATCAGGTTCTACTTTGGCACATCTAAATAACTAACAAAGTAAAATAAACATTCTAGGTTAAATATTTAACTTAAACTTTATAATATTTATAGAATATTGGAATAGTAAACTAAACTTCTTGATATCAGTCTACATGATTTATTTCCTGAGGAAAAATAACGTATATATACATTAACTGCGGTTGATATAGTGTATCACTCTTTTCTCAAAAAAGAAAATTCATAAAGAACACAATCAAGCACTCATATAACGTTATCTTTTGAATTGATTCTGTTTAGTTATTTTTTTATGTTCATCTATATAAATACATCATTGGGTCTTAGCTTTTCTTTCATATAGTTCTGGAGAAATATATCTCATATAAAAGTAAACGCAAACAAGTTATATAAGAAAAATGTCTTCATCCAAGTTTCACTTTGTAGTTCTTCTGATCATTGTTGCACTTCTTGTTAATAATGGACAATCGACTAGTAAGATCTCTTCCATCATCTCTTTGTTTCATATAACAACAAAAACAGAAGCCAATGTTTACGTATAATAAATTATATTGATGTGTGATTATCTTATTCACTTTATAAGCTACAAACAAAATTATGATTCTGATACTGAGTTTATTGATTTAACAGGAGTAACAGATGATAAGTTTCCAGAATGCGAATTCAAAGGACCCTGCCAGATGAAAAGCGATTGTTTGGGGACATGTGGAGGCAAACCTGAAAATGCTTTGTGCATACCTAATCCTAGCGTAGACAGCCTTCAATGTTGTTGTCTTTCAAACTAATTTGCTTCATATTATATTCTACTATTGATATAAGCAGTGTGATGTTTTATCAATAAGTTATTAAATAATTTTAAACGTTTCACTATGGATTTTCTTATATCGAATTAAGGATAGTTAGATATTGTTTCAATATCTTGTCCTGCATTTGTGACATAATGAAGAACTGAAGATTTCAAAATCAAATCCTTGGTTTAAGGGCAAAACGTACAGTTGAGATACCGAATACCATATAACACCCCCCCCCCCCCCCCCCCCACAAACTCCGACTACAACACTCAAAACACCAAATCTTTACCTTACTTTACTTAATATCATTATCTTTATGTCTTCTCGAGTCCGTGAGCTACTTCGGACACAAGAGTCACATACTACATACTCTTACTGTTTTTTTATAGTCTGTCCTCATTTAACTGTCGTTTTGGGAACTGACACGAATGAAGTTGATCCGGTTTAATTCTGAGATTGATCTAATAATATATGAAGTTGATCCGGTTTTTTATAGTGTTTTCTTCTTCATCTCTTTCCTGGTTTGTTTTCTCTGTGAATTTCCTAGAAAATCACCATGGATTCCTCATCCTTGCTTTTGAGTTTCTACATGTAAACTCTTGGCAGGAGAGAGAGCGATTCTTTGTGTAATACACTGGATCGAATCAATACGATTTACTATTCATCATCTTCTTCCCCGTTACGTTTTATTGTATCATTGATCGTACCCATGATGAAATAATTTTAAATTATGAAAAGATAAATTCCATATATATAATTTGGGAGGATAAAATTTATACAGTACGACCAAAAGAATTTGATTTATACAGTTAAAATACATTAGGTATATACAGTTAACAGGTAGATGTATACTGAATCCCGTCAACAGAAAATTTAAGTTACTGGTTTTTCTAATTTCTCATATCCAGCTCCCCATTGTTTCATCCTCTCCGAAGCTTGTTCCACCTTCAGAAATAGTAAAATTAGAGAAATGAACATTGCTATCATGTTTTTCCGTTACAAAACTTCTTTGTAAAAAAAAAAAGTAACGATCAAAATTGAAATGATGTTATATACCTCTTTGTTCCAATTGGTTTTGTATATCATGTACACAAGGATCAAAGTCTGAAGACTAGTCCCACATATCATACCAATCCAAATCCCCTTAAACCATATAAAAAGATTTCATCAAACCGAACTAATCAAACAAAGACCGATAATAAGTAGTGAGACTTTACCTGCACGCCAAGTCTGGTTTTATAACCTAGAAGAAACCCTAGAGGTAAACCAAAAATATAGTAACAAATCAAGTTGATATAAGCCACCGGTGCTTGCCATCCTCCTCCCACAGCAACACCTGCTCAGTCCCCAACATTCTTCATCACCATCCAAATCTTTCAACCATTATTTAAAGGAAAAAAAACTCGGACATAAAATGTTAATTACCGGATATAACCGGTTGTAAACTGTTGAGAATCATCGTTATACCGAGAAGGTAAGCAAGATCAGATACCGCCTTTCTCATCTCTTGGCTATCCGTAAAAATGACTGCAAAGTCATCTCGTGTAATGAGAATTACAATAGCACACACCACTCCAATGATTAGAGACTCTATCACCGTTACGATCACCGAGTATTTGGCAGCTCTTGGATGTCCAGATCCTAGCTCATTTGACACCCTAACACTGATGAAAGAAACATCGCATAAACCTACCGTTCTTTAACTAGAAAACCAAAAAAAAAACAATGCTTTAATTTGTTTTCTCTTTACCTTACAGCAGCATTGATCCCTATGAACAACATTCCTTCCCATCCGTTAATGTTCATACTGAGACACGAAAAACGTTTTAATAAAGCAGAAAAAATGTAGAATTTTAAAAGATTGTGAAAGGGGTAATTACCAGATGGAGAGAGATCCAACGGCTAAGACAGGGTCTTCAAGATGTCCGGTTAAGACAATGATAGTCATGAAATACCAAATCTCAAGACAAAGCATAACCGCAGACGCAAACGACAGTTTCAAAAACGGCCAAACGTCTTGAAACGCCAACCAAGAAAGCCCTCGCCAACCGTCTTTACACCACCCTACAACGTAAACAAGCTGCGCGATCGCGATTCCCCAAGCGGAGACAACAAAGGCAGCCGCTGCGCCGTTAAGTCCCCATTTGAAAACGTTTATAAAGAGGTGGAGGATGAAGATGTGAAGGGTCAGGGCGACGAAACCGATCCATGCAAGGATCCCTACTTTGCTTTGTGATTGGAGAAACTTCTTGGTGGGGAAGTTGATGGCAAGGGCGAATACTTGAGGGATGATATGAGCAGTGAATTTGCCAGAGATTTCAGCAATTTCGGGTTCTTGGCCGAGGAGAATGAGAAGAGGAGTTGCGTAGATGTAGAGTGGAAGCAAGCAGAAGCATGTTCCGATGAGTATAAGCCAAGAACGTTGCATGTAAACTCCTAACATTTCTATTTGTCCCGCTCCAAACGCTTGTCCACATAACGTTTCCAACGCACTCGCCATTCCTAACTGCATTTTTTTATTCATCATTGTTTTTTTCAAAAGTTCGAGCCAAAATCCAAATCCAAATCCAAATCCAAATCTAAAACCATAACATATACTCCACTCGTTTCAATTTACTTGTTATTACAGAATAAAAATTTCGTTTTAAAAGAAGTGTCGTATTATAATTTCAATACAAAATTTGCGTATAAAAACTTGTGTTTTTATCTTGAAAATATGTAAAAGTTAAATTATTTTTTTAATTTGTGAACAAATACTTAAAATGACAACTACAGTGAAACAGATAGAGTAATATTACTTTTGTTCCAATAATCATTCGAAACCGAGGATTTCTGACATAATGGCCATGATTCTTTTGGGTTGAACTAATGACTTATGGTCAGATTTTTTTTTAAAAAAAAATGGAGGGATAAAACATAGGAGATTGGTTAAAGAATTACCAAGAAACCGACAATGACAA